AATTTCGAGTTCATGTGACTATAATTCCGAAGTTAGAGCTGATTAAAAACTTTCAATATGGGAGGTTTCCCTCATCCCCCTCCCCCCCTTGGCGAGTTTCAATTTTTTTACCCTATTATAGGTCCAGGAGTCATGGCAATATTTTGGCAAAATTTTATTCGATTCTGTACATCCGTTCAGGCTGCAACCTGGTACATACATACATATATACTTCCACAAATATATAGTAGATTTGCTTTGAAGCGCCATCTTGCGGTTCTTTAAATAAAAAATAGATATCAGAAATTAATTTTTCGTATCACAAAACTTCCGAGCACAACTCTTTATTACCAAAAAAAAAAACATTCCTAACACTTTAGTAAATATTAATCTGATTATGGACTTAGTATTAATTAAAAATATTTTCTTTTAAAATTGCGCAGGCTCGAAATTGATTCTAGAGCTATGGTCTAAAGGGCTTTTTTTCTTAGAATTTTATGTAGAATCCGAATCTGCTAGGAACGATGTCGAAAAAAAAATTTACCCGCCCTAATGTACATACATACGCCCATGCACAAGTACCTACGTCTGTACATATTAACAACGCACATGCTTGCATATGTATGCAAATGCACATAATCTTAAATAATTAACAACTTTTAATCACTAAACAAAAATCTACAAGCATCAAAACGAAATACTTCTGCACATACATACAAATACTACAACTAGAAACATACAGACGCCACGTTTACTTTTCCCCGCACTCCCGCTTCTTGCGAGCAAGAAATTCATTCATAAAAGTAAAAACTTCCATTCATAAACTCGCCCGCACCTCGCACACTTGCACCGCTACAAGCATGAGCCGTCCACAAGTTGATTTTCGCCGCGGCGTTGACAAAATCTATAAATCTCAAATTTTGTCAACCACCGCGCCGATCGGAAAAGTCTCAACAGTGTACAAAATCCCCCTTCCCTTTGCTCACTTCAGTTGTCTAAAACAAAATATATTTTCTGCGCGTTACAGAAAACGGGCAACAATGCCGACAAGTGCGCAGAATCCCTTCATTTTCGTTTCCCCCGCCTTGTCCAGAATTCTTCATCTTCTTCAACTATTTCACAATCCGCAGAAAAGCCATAAAATCAATTTTGATCACAAATTATTATTTTATTTCATTTTATAAATATATAAAAAACCATCGCATCTACCATACCGTATCAGCAAGGCATCATCATCGATTCGCCTCTACCAACTATGCCACAGCACAACTTGAATGCTTGGCACCTTACAAGTTAGATGTACCCTTCAAAATGCAAGTATGAATTCAAATATTTTTTCTTTTTCGTTGACATATCTACATCTACGTACCAAAGGATATATGTGCGTACTTGTAATTTTTGCTTATACGAGCACACGAAATTTACCTGAAAAACCTACCAAAACCTATCAAAATTTTATCAAAAATCAGGTTTGCTTTTATAAATTTTTTTTAATTTAAACTTTTATTTTTTATAATATTTTATTTTAGTTTATTAGTATATTGAATTTAATTTAACTAGATTTTATTTTATTTTATTACTATTTTTTAATTTTATTTTATTAGTTTATTTTGATTTATTTTATTTTACTAGTTTATTCGAATTAAATTGAAATTTTTATTTTATTAGTTTAATTTAATTTCATAATTTTATTTTATTAGTTTATCTAATTTAATTTGATTATTTTATATTATTAGTTAATTTTATTATTTATTTTTATTTAATTTAATTATTCTATTTTATTTTATTGTTTATTTTATTTAATAAAAGGAATAAGTCCCGAAATTTTTAATAATAATTACCTATAACTAATTATTTTTAAGCGAAAAACAATAAAGTAATGATTAAATGCTTATTTGGTTTTATAAATCCATATTTTGGTACGAATGGATAAAAGGCTTGATGCTAGGAGTTCCCAGTCAGAAACTCTCATCTTTGGCACAAATGTACAATCATATATTTTTTTAATTAATTTAATATTTACATACATACACACACTTTTCAATTAACACTTTAAAATTCACTTTTCATCTTTCATTTTCCCCTTCCCCATTTTTTTACATTTTGGGGCATTTCTACTTTTGACAAAATCTAAAAATAGCCAAATTACATTTTTGGTATTTTTTTACCATTTCTCCGCTTTTCTTATGAAAAATCTAAAAATAGCCAATTCTCATTTTTCGCCAAACGGTATGTCGCAAGAGCAAGTGCAAAAAGGTGAAAAATTTCATCTCTTTCTGTGGTAAAAAATTTAGTTTGGTGAACTCTCGCATCAAATATTTATTTTGGTGAACTGCCGCATCTCAAACCTATCAGAATTTAGTAGTACTAAAAAAATTTAAAATTAACATTTCCTCCTTCTCATTACATTAACATTCTCTGGTAGAAGTGCCTATGTATGTACACTTTTAAGATGCATGCATATGAATTGTGCGTAGCTTTTATTGCATCTCTGTATTTCCATAACTACCTGTGTGAGGAAACCAAATTATGTAATTCTTAACAGAAGTTCTTAAAACTGAACAGTTTGGCAATTTAAACACTGTTGAAGTTGATTTCCTTACTAGCGCCTACAACTATACTTCTTATTTACTACCGCCGGCAGATTTAACAATTTTATAGTGGTTTTACGTTCTTGGGCAAATTACGCTCTGTTAGCCATAAATTTTACTATGTTTTGACCGCCTTTGTGTCAAGACCCCTGGACCATATAGGGAATTCATTTATATTTTAAATTGCATTGTCATCGTGATTGGAACTATGCTGAAAATTTCAAGTCTGTACCTTGTCGGGAAGTTGGTTTAAAATCTATTGGAAATTTCCGCGGTATGACCAAGTTAAATAAAAGCTTGTAATAAAAATAACTACATACTGCACACACTGAGAAAAAGGATGAGTTTCGACAACTAAAGATATTTAGTTCCCGAATTTTGACAATATTTGGGAACTGTGACTAAGGATTGGGAACTATTACCATGGGTTGGTAATTATAACTAAATATATTAAAGCTTCTAATATTCATCTAGGTTGTACCAAATCGTTAATTTAGTTGAAGGGTGAATGACGTCACCATAAAGATAATTAATTTGTTCTTCAGCTGATGTACATAATTTATAGATGTTTGTATTTTTAAACCAAACCCACTATAAAACGAACAAATGTTATTTATTCATGAAATAACCTTTTTTTGAAAAAAAACTGCATAATTAATGGAACAGAAATTTATATTAATTAGAAAGTACAAGTTATTATCTTTAATTCGATATTACATATTTTATCATGATCTACTTTTGGGTTTCAACAATTTAGTGATAATAAAAAATACAAATAAACCTCTTCTATCTTCTTTATTTTTTACCTGCCCCAAATAAATTTGGTATCGTTGAAATCAGCGTAAAAAGTTCTATCAATCGGAATTTTTGGTTATTTTATAGCTAAACGATCGCTATTCTAGACTTGCTCCAGAAAATTACGCAAACGAAGGTGATGTCAACGAATATTTGGTATGAAGAATTTTTGGTTTTACTACTAATATAACTAGAAACTGTAGAGTGAGCAACATTCTGCACAATAGAGGTGTCAAACTATCGATAGTCACACCATCGATAGTTATGGTAGTTTTCAGAAAAACTATCAATATTCACGATAGTCTCGAAAAAAATAAAACTATCGATAAAACTATCGATAGCGCTAAATCAGTTAGGTTGCTTTGTTTTTACAGGATCATAGTGAAATAAATACTATTTTATAAAAGTTATAATCATTCAAAATTAAGTAAATGCTTAGCCAAAATACTTCTCTTTTTAAAAAGTTCAAAAACAAACACAAGTTATACAAACAAAACAGGATTTACGATTAACATATGTATGTATTTTGGCCTAAATGCGTGCATATTTGAATATGACGTCGGCATCACACTAAAAAACAAAATTTTTAATTCAAATTAAAAAAATCAAATACTTCCAAAATAACTGGTAGAGATGATCGATAGTCCTACTAAACTATCGATATTTTCGATAGTATAAGAAAAAACTATCAATGAGTATTGATAGTCTAAAAAAATTGAAACTGTCGATACTATCGATAGTGCCATCGGTAGTTTGACAACTCTACTGCACAAGTAAAGGAGCCGATTTTATGTGTGGGGGCGAGAAGACTGTTTTATTACAAAACCTTTCTATTATTGAATCATGTGTTTAATGTAAATTTATGTCTTTTTAGGAAATGTTGAGCCAACAAAGAAGGCGCAGTTGGAAAATGGAGTTATTAGTAATGAAGTAGCAGGCATATTTGGAAAATTATGCCGATAAGCAGGCGGGAATTTGGGAAAGTAAGTGCCTGGTTGCAGCATATCTATGTATTAAAAAGTATTTAATTAAATTGTTTAATAGAAATGTGATAAATCGAGTGGCTCATTTACGATGTGCTCCAAATAATTGGCGAACTTTTTTTCGCCTTTTCAACGTGCTAAGTAACAAGTTAAGATGACTTCCATCACGGGCGGTAAGAAACCGCAAGCAAAGAGCAGACAACCTTCCAGGAAGCTGCCTCCTGTCCCCGAGTCGAAGCTGAAGTTCACCAAGAAGCAGGTCAGCAAACTGCTACCCTGATCAAACGTAAACTAAAGCGCTCTGCTGTGATTGCACTCCTTAAACGAGAAAACTTGGGGCATGCTGAGAAATATCAAACAAGAAACTCCGTGATGGACGCCGTGAGATGAAGTTGCGCTGTGTGGCAAAGAAACGCGGCCAATTCTACGGCCCTGAAAAATCCAAATTGGCTTTTGTGATCCGTATCCGCGGTATCAACAAAGTTGCACCAAAAGTGCGTAACGTTTTACTGTTGTTCCGTTTTCGCCACATTAACCACGGTTTGTTCATCAAATTGAACAAGGCAACCATTAATATGCTACGTATGCCGAACCCTATATGGGGTTATCCAAATATCAAATCAGTTCGAGAATTGATGTACAAACGTGGAATTGTTAAGCACAACCATCAACGTGTCCCAATCTCTGACAGCTTTGTGCTCGAACGCAAATTTCGCAAAGCGCACGAAATATTCACTGTTGGAATCCACTGCAAGAAAGCCTCCAACTTCCTGTTGCAATTCAAGCTCAACACATCAACCCGAGGCTGGCGCAAGAAGGCTAATTACTACGTTAAGGTTGGTGATTTCAGTAGCCGTGAGGATAAGATCAACAAATTGCTGCGCAAGATGGCTTAAAGAAATTGTTCCCAAGCAAAAAAAAGAAAACTAAAAAATTCCTGAAGTTGCCTTTACACGGGTCGATTTCTGTCGATTGGAAAATTGACTAAGATATCGACTAGCCAAAATGGTTACATTTTACGGTTGAATTGCAATTTACACGGGTAAAAATCAACCGTGTAAAGGCAACTTAAATAACGTTCAAATTAATCATCACCTTTGAGATGGAAAATACCAATAACCATTTCATAATTTCGAAAATTATTCCGTTTGTATTTGTTCTTGTTCCACACCACCTGTGAGGTATGCTTTTATTCGCGTTACCGATTTTTTTAAGGGGCTCGGTTCCTCAGGAGGCCTATTATCACCTTTACAACTTAACTTAAGAAGAATTAAAACTAAAGCATGTATATAAAGAAAATTAAAAATTGTCTTATATCTAGTAAACATAAAAAATTTCACTTATTTAATTCATTATTCATTATAAAATAAAATTAAATATCACAATTCAGTTGAAGTGTATACAAATATATATGTACATATTTACAAAATGTGGTCTGTATGCACCCACAGTAAGTTCCCTAAACCTAGCCTAAATTCAGAACTGAGAAAAGACGAGCAAATGGGGTCGGAAACTACTATCTTTAAAAGCATAATGTGGAAAATGTTTGAAGAGCTGAAACTGTATTGCAATAATAAAAATAACAGTGCATAAATTGGAAAAATTGTTTTTTGTTTTGCTTTATAATTTTTGGGAATATTGGTTCAGATGGAATTTTTTTATTTGTTTGGTTTTTCAGCTCATTAATGATGCACCCACGGTTGCATTTACCGCCTCTGAAAATATTTCATGAAGCGTTCCAAAATTAGCTCCGAGCAAGTAAAAGTTGGTTAAGCTTAAATGAAATAGTTTTTTTATTAAATATTTATTCCTGGTATTTAGTAAAAAACATTCAGACAATACTAATGTATGGAATGAAGTAAATAAAAATCTACGAATACATTTCATAAATATTTTGTCATAGAGCCATTATTAAATTTAGACATAACTTTGTCGGGCGTTGGTCCTGACGTATATAGAATTAATGCGTTAGAAAGAGATAAATATACAAGCTCAACGCGCTAATTTAGGTATACTTGTATGTATATAACTGTTATCCGTCTGGCATATTATAAAACTGCGAAAACAATGAGAATTATAATTTATTTAGATGCATATTTTAGCTAAATGTTATATCGTCGCCTGGATAAAAGATTGTCAAAAGTTACTTTCGGTAACTCACGATTTAAGTTTGGAATGCAATTTCTCAGAAACAGGACTACAGATTTTCTCCAAAGTGCTATGTACTAGTTCACGAAATTCTCAAATTATCTTATTTTTTTAGTTTAGTGTCAACCATGTATGAGTTTAATAAAATTTTGTCGTATACGACAATTGTCAAAAAATTGCAGTCAGTTTTAATGATATACGCCAAAATGTGATAAGAAGTTTTATAAATTAACGATACTTTTTACTAATCAGCCTAATCGTGAGTTTCGCCCGAACAAAATTTTGCCAACAATTTTTTCATCCACCTGTAGTGAATACACGCAAACGAAAAGTGAAAAAGTGGCCCGGTTCTAGAAAATCAAACTCATGAATATGTCGGAAACTAAAGAAGAACAGATAAAACTCTATTTGAAAGATTTTGATTAGTTTAGTACGACAGCAATACTAACGCAATTTGTACCAAATAACCGAAAACATTTTAGTCAATTACTCGGAAACTAAAGAAGATATCCAAAAACCACAAATTGTCAAAATGACGCTTCCGGCAATTTTCCATCCAAGCGACGATATTTGAATGTTACTCGCATATTTTCGAGCCTGTATGTAAATTTTCGGGAAAAAAGTTAAAAAGTATATTCATCTGCTGAAAAGATATTTTCGCAGATTCACAATTTATTTAAAATAAATCTATCAGCCCTATCTCCAATTCCATGTGAATAAATCTCTCCAGGGCTTAAATAATTTTCACCACATTAAATAGCTGCACAACACCCTAATTGCCGAAAAAGCGTTGCTTGCAACACTAGTCCTTTATGGGGACCAAATTTGGTGAAAAAACAAAAAAGATTGTTTACTGGATATACTGAGATGCCGACCATTGCATAAAATCGAAAAAAACGAAACGAAAAAAATGAAAATCTCTAGTTCTGAACTGGTGCGCTTCTAGTAAATTTAGACCCAGTATTGGTTCGCGATAAATCTCTTTTGCATGCAAGCAACTGGCGAATTTAACATGGGGATGGCCTAGGAAGTGTCAATTGCCCCCCGCTGCATCCCTTTTTCGATCGTTCCGAACTAGTCCTAAATTCTATAGTTCCGAACCAGTTCTAAAATCGATAGACGAAAGAAAAAAGTATCATGATTTTTCAATCTTTTTGGTTCTTCCGTGTGTGCGATTTTAAGTTATTTTGGAAGAAATGTCTTTTCAATTTGAAATTAAATTTTTTTGAATGATTGTAAGAAATGTACGTTTACATACCTTTAGCTGTAGCTGAGTTTGCAGAGGTGCTCGCTGTTATTTCTTAGATTCCCTGTCCTGTTCCAAGATGTTGAAATGTTAACACAAATTTTAGTTTTGTATTACCAAGCTATGAAAAAGCATCTGCGAAGCACAGACTAGAAGCGTATTTGAACGAAAAAGCTGTCGAACACATATCTATGTAAAGTAAACAACCCCCCGCTGCATCCCTTATTCGATAGTTCCGTACTAGTTCTAAATTCGACAAATAAGATCTAGTTCGTTCTGCATCCCTTTTTCTATATTTCCGAACCATTTCAAAATTCTTCACTTTAGATATAGATTTCTAGTGAAAACACTTAAAAAAACTAGTTTTTTAAAAGTATCACTTTTCGCCGATTTTGGGCTGGTGGGGATCTAGTTCCTATCGGACTAGTTCCTTTTTGGCGATAAAGACCTAGTACGAAACTAGAAATTTGATTCACTAGTCCGTGGTTTCCCTACAGGGCATTGCTCCGCTACCGCTGTTCGTATAAGTTAAGTTATTTTATTAAATAACGGATTTTTAAAAAAGCGTGTGGACTCGCGTCCACCACGTTTTTATTAATTGAGTCTAAACTTAGAACTAAATGCAATTGGTTTCGTAACATTAAATTAAACCTACTATCGGCCATCAGTCGCGTTGCACTTGCATATGCACTATTTCCGAATATTGCTCAATCGTTGTTGTGCCAATTATTATTGCTGATCGAATAACAAATTGGTTAATGCGGTGTCAGCAATTGTGCGGATGCCTTTGTGGAGTTGCTGACCGTTGGTAGAAGTCAATTCTGCAGAGCTGTTGTAAACTGTTGCGTTAACTCTTGCCCCTTTAAATATGATCGTCCTCGATCATTAGTAGAATGGTAAGTANTCGTTGTTGTGCCAATTATTATTGCTGATCGAATAACAAATTGGTTAATGCGGTGTCAGCAATTGTGCGGATGCGCGTGTGGAGTTGCTGACCGTTGGTAGAAGTCAATTCTGCAGAGCTGTTGTAAACTGTTGCGTTAACTCTTCCCCCTTTAAATATGATCGTCCTCGATCATTAGTAGAATGGTAAGTTGTTGAGATTTACGTATGTTGGAATGTGGTTTGTTTCGCTTGACGGATTGACTTCCAGGCTTGTGCTGGGCTTCACTATTTCTTTTCCCACATATTGGATTTTCACGGATCGTTTCCTTAGGAAAAGAAGAAGTACTATGATGATTAAGAATGCTGCCGTAGTTAGACTTCCGACAGAGAAGGTTGCCTTTTTGAGGGAATTTATTCGATGGGTATTGTTGATATGCAGGTCCTTCAAGGCTTCTAGGGAAAGTAGTTCTATGTGGTCCTTTTCCAACGGGATTGGCTGTAGTATTGCAGGGATGGTTTCGGTTGGCTTTATTTCAATATTGCTGAATGTTTGACTGTTGATTTTAATTGTTGAATTGTAGAATATTATCACGTGCGTTCCGTTTACTTCTTGGGATGTCTCGTCGGCTTCTAGTTTGCCGTTGAACTGGTTTAGCAATATTACTCCTGGTTTTATTTCTTCTAGCGTAGTGACGTGATGGCCGTTGGTTGTCGAACATGTTGAGTTTAAACTATTAACTATCCTAGTTACACATAAATCTTTACTTAAATCTACCAAATGAGTTTCCTTGCAAATTGCTACTTCATTATAGCTTTCGCATTTATTTTTTATTCCAAACAGTGTATATTTTCCTTTGAATAANCTTCTAGCGTAGTGACGTGATGGCCGTTGGTTGTCGAACATGTTGAGTTTAAACTATTAACTATCCTAGTTACACATAAATCTTTACTTAAATCTACCAAATGAGTTTCCTTGCAAATTGCTACTTCATTATAGCTTTCGCATTTATTTTTTATTCCAAACAGTGTATATTTTCCTTTGAATAATTCATTATACTCAGTTTTAATTACAATATTGTTTATCCTTTTTACAGGTCGTATAATAATTCCTCTAAATGTTTCTTTTAATGTTAGAGGTATTTTTACCATGTATACAATTTTCATATCTTGGCTAAATACATTTACTTTTGACAGTTCTAATGCTTCTTCGGCATTTTTAAATGGTACTTCACCTTCTCTTAATTTACTAATTGACAATTCTATTTCTTACTTGCTTAACATTACTGAATTTAATATATTATGCTTGCCCATTGAACGGCATACCTTATATTAATTAGCTCTTCCTTAATTAGCCTGATTCTAATTTGAAAATTTATTAAAATTTCCGTTAGAACATTGCCGTCCTTCCTTATCCTGTTTAACATTTTGTTTACTATATAAGTTATGTTATTAATGCGTTTCTCGAATAACTGGTTAATTACTATTTGGTTATTGTTTTTGTCGTTTAAGCTATTTAAGTTGTTTGTTATTATATTTAAATCTTCATGATCAGGAGACCCGGCTAAGTACTTCCATGCCGTTCCCAACATATCAATTGATCTTTTCATCTTATTTACGTTAGAAGGCTTTAGGGTGTTCAAGATTTCATAGGTTTGGGTGGTTTCATGTTTTAGTATAGGATATAGGAAGTGGTCATTAGGGATTTGGTTGGCTATCTCGTTATAGGTCTCTGTCAAAAATCGTTCGTATTTTGCTAAGTCGATGAGATGAATAAGTCTGAATGTGCCGTCTTGTATTTTCTCTTGTCCATTGTCTATTGTCACCAATTGCGCTTTATTATAGTCCAAAATTTTAACGTCCGTTAGGGAGGTTGTGATTGTGGCACAAATAATTAGAAGACCGAAATAGCCCATTTTCCTGAAAACGATTGTTCAAGTTTTTTATTAGTGCTTTATGAATTATTCGTCCCGATACAGTTTTTACGGTGGTTTTATTATTTTCGGATACTATTTCTTTCTTATATTTCGTAGTTAATTTTGAACCAAGTCT